ACTAGCACCTTGAAACGTGTCCGGAGACCAATGGGCAGCCAGTGCAGCTCACGGAGGATAGGTGTAACGTGGGTGTACCTAGGAAAAAGAAAGCGAGCTGGCCAGCTGGCACTTTCTTTCGCCCACCTGTCAGCGCTCAGGCGGGCGAAAGAAAGAAAGAGCTTTAGACAGTGGGATGTCAGGGGAGAAGACTGCCTCACCAGCCATAAACCTCACCGCACGTCACTGGAACCAATATAGTGTAATGTAGATGATAAGTATGGCAGCAGTTTGAAGCATACACTTGAAGTTTCCAGCTTCCAGGTTTTTTGGCTAAGTCAGTGTTTCTCAACCTTGGCAACTTTTAAGATGGGTAGATTTCAACCCCCATAATTCCTCAGCCATAATATGTTGTAAGCAAACTACGAATTCTCCCAGTACACTGATATTGATGCTGGGTGAATCTTGGAAAATTAAATCATTTTCAGATTCAAAGGCGGGGAATGGTGGGCTGGCTGCTAAAGCACTTGAAAGTAAATCAGGAAGGCTTCCTGAAGGTGACCTGGTCAAAGAAAAGACCTGTGCAAAGCTTGGCATTCTGAAAAATCAGCTGCCAGTGGACAGATAGAGATAAATTCAATCTCTATATGTTTATAAGATGTAATCCAGCGTTTCTCATGTCTGAAGATGTGTGGACTTCAACTCCCAGAAGGCATTGCAGGTGGGGAATTCTGAAAGTTGAAGTTTATACGTCTTCAAGTTCCTGGCATTGAAAAATACTGTTATAACCATATGTGAAGGAAGGAAAACATCAGAGAACCTAGCAAGCAACAGTTAAGGTGGAAACAATATCAAATAAACAAGCAGGGAAGAAACAGTAGCCTGATCAAAGAACTTTCAAGGAAGGTAAAAATATTTTATTACTAGCCAATAACCCTGCGTTGCCCGGGTATTTATTTATAGGGGGAAAATGTCCGGACCAAATGTAATTTCTAATGTTGGATTTTCCCCCTTATCAGAGGGTGCCCCCTTGTGGAGTACTGTGAAGCCACTACCATGGCAATTCCACTGTGCTGTACAGTAGAAGCCATTTTATGGCAGTACGGCACAACAGGCTGCATCTTAACAGAACGCACTCCCCATTTCAATGGCAGCCGAAAAGCAGCAGCGAAGCAGAGGCTGACATCTGGCCCTCCTCCAGAAAAAGACAGTCACGCTTGCAGAAACGAAAGAACACAAACAAACAAACGAACAGCAGGGCATAGAAGAGAAAAAGGGAAAGGGGGAAATTAGAAATTCGAAGTGAGGTCAGGGCTTGTCTGGGTAAGCAGAGTAGAACTTGAGGAGCAGTCGAGGAGCCCGCGCATGGGATTTATCAACCCATTCAGTATGAGAAGGGGGGAAATGTTTCCAAGCTACAAGATACTGAATACGGTTCCTCCGTTTACGAGAGTCCAAAATTTCTTGAACCTCAAAGTGTTGCTCACCCTCAACCAGAAGCGGAGCAGGTGGAGGCGGGAAAGGAGCCCTCAATGGAGAAGTACGTTCCGGTTTCAGGAGATTAACATGAAAAACAGGATTAACACAGTTAAGATATTTAGGCAATTGGAGGCGGACGGAGACAGGGTTGATGACTTTGATAATTGGAAACAGGCCAACGTATTTGGGACCCATTGTTTTAGATTTTTGAGTTGTCTGAAGAAACTTAGTGGATAAATAGACACGACACCAACTTTATAGTCATTAGGTTTTGCCCTTTTCCTATCTGCTTGTTTATTGTGCACGCGATGTGCAGCATCCAGCGCCTGGTATGCTAAAGGCCACATCTCTCGAAGGCGATCACTCCACTCGGAGAGGGACAACACCTGTGGTTTCTCGCAAGGGATCTCAGGGATGGGCACAAAATCATGTCCGTAAACCACCCGGAAGGTGTGCTACTGTGCACTGAATTGTTGTATGCCACCTCAGCATGAGGCAACAATTCCACCCAATTATCTT